GAGAGAGAGAGAGAAAAGAAAATAAGAGAGGAAAAGAAAACACGAGGATTTTCGTGGGCGAGGTAAGAGGACGCCGGAGACGTCCCTCGTGAAGACCGGATACGGACACGTCGTTTTAAAGCATCCAGTTACTTGGAGCTGTGAGGAATTTATTCGCTCAGGCTTACTCAAGGGGGCAGGACGAGCGATATTTCGCAAGGATAATCCTGCAAGTGCGAGTTCCTCGAGCGATCAAGTTATTAACTGTCTTGACGAGATATAATCGTTCGGCGACTCGGACGATCTAATGACGCGGTCTTTATCGCACAATTTAGATAATTGAAGACGAAAGGGAGAGAAGGTGAGAGGGCACAAAGTAATAATAATTGCCAGCGATTCAACGATCTCACAGAAACCTGACTCGATTATTTTCCAAACTCATGATCCAAGAGATATAATGTCCTGCTTGCTTAAAAGCAATTTCCTAATACCTCACATGGGAATAATTTTCCAACCAACACCTAAACGTTGGAAAAGCACGTTCGTGCGAAATTGGTAACGTTCTTCAATTGTAACGCTACGGGTATATCAAATTATTCAGATACCAAATGATCACAACACGATAAATTACGTACAAAAATTATTAGATTTAGTAGTTGAATTTTTCCAATAAAATTTACACAATTCAGAGCGAAATTTGAAATTGAAATATTCTCCCGCTCTTTTGCGGCCTTAAATTGTTGACATTTACCTTTTCGGAATGACATTGGCTTTGGCGTTTGATGCGCATAACCTCAAATAAACAGTGCCCGCGATGGCTATCAACAAACAGCATATTCGATACGCGATGCATCTCGCATTTCATTCAAACAGAAACGCTTATGAAGCAGCCAAAATTATTTGGGCTGTTTATGATGAAAATGCTGCGATCGATCGCACGTACCGTTTGAACTGGTTCGAACGTTTTCAAAGTGGTAATTTTCATCTTCATGACCAAACACGCTCCAGTGAGTCAGAAGAATTTGAAGACTAGGAGTTGCAAAATCTACCGAATGAAAAGACGGCACAGACACAACAAGAACTTACGGAAAAGCTGTAAGGAGTAAGCCAGAAAGCTACTTGCGATCTTTTACATCGTATGGGAAAGATATAGAAAGAAGAGAAGTAGGTTCCACATGAGCTAACCATTGACAGCAAAAATCGCCGGTTGACCACATGCGTTACCTTGCTCGCCAGACAGGAAAAAACGATTTTTCGCAAAATCGTAACTGGTGACGGAAAATGAATTATGTATGAAAATCCTAAACGCAAAAAATCATGGGTAAACCCTGGTCGACCGATAACGTCGACAGTGAAACTCAAACGTTTCGGAAAAGAAGTTCTTCTCTGTATATGATGGGACCAGAAGGTGGTGGGTGCGCTGTGCTGCGAGTTCTGAGAACCGGGTAAAGCAATTAAAGCAGAGATTTATCAACAACAATTTATACGTTTGAGCGATTGCAGTTGAGAAAAAGGGCTATTTACTGGATAAGGCAGCCGTAAATTCATCCTGCTGCACGACGATGCTAAAACCGCATACAGCAGGAGCCACAAAGGAAACCCATCCAACACTTGGACTGGGAAGTTCTCCCACACGCTGAGTACTCCCCAGACTTGGCTCCATCAGATTCTGACTTGTTTCGGTCGATGCAACACGCACTGTCTACAGTAATACACATTTGTCGACACTTGACGTATGAAATTTCATCGATGACTTTATAGCTTCAGAGTATCACCAAGTTTTCTATCATGATGGAATTCGGCAACTGCCCGATAAGTGGCATAAGTAAGATCATCGATAGCAACGAGAATATTTCATTGATCAATCTTGTCCTATCGATATTTGAATAAAGATCGAAAATTGTCGAGAATCGGAAAGAATCAACTACTAGAGCCAGTACTCGCAAACTTTTTCACTATTTCTTGCCTTCAAAGGTTTCCCTTCAAACTTTTTCCCTTCCCTTAAGGACCATAAAAATTACCTTTCAAAAGCAAAAGGGAGCGAATAAAATGAGCAAATAATTGTCCACCACAATTTATTGCGATAATTTATCTTAAATAAATCAATCTGTCTCACAATCATGTTTTTCGACATTCCTCGACCTGCCGGCTCGAAGGATGCCGAGACCTCTCGTTAAATGCACAACGACGAATTTCTCGAGGATTTCTGTCCGAGGAACGGTATTCTTAAAAGTTTCTATCGTAATGGGATTCGGCAACTTTCCAACAAGTGGCATGATGGAGATCATCGATAACAACGGAGAATATTTCACTGATCAATCTTGTCCTATCGATTTTTGAATAAAGATTGAAAATTGTCGAAAACCGGAAAGAATCAACTGCTAGACCCAATACTCGCAAACTTTCCGCCATTTCTTGCCTCCAAGGATAACTTTCTTGCTCCATAAGGAGCCATAAAAATTACCTTTCGAGAGCAAAAGGTAGCATAAAAATAAGCAAATAATCTTCCTACACAATTTGTCGCGACACAATTTACTGTGCAATTACTGCTTGGATAAAAATCAACTATATTTTTCGACATTCCTTGATTCCTGCCGGCTCGGAAGGATGCCGAAAGCTCTCGCTGGACGCGCAACGACAAATTTCCCGGGGAACGATATTTTTAAAAGGGCGCAAAAACGCGTCGATCGACGCGCACTCGTTCGCCGCAGTGCGGCGCCGCTCATTCACGCGTGTGTTCTGCTCTTAAAGGCGCCGCGACGGCCGCGCTCTCTCTCTCTCTCTCTCTCTCTCTCGCGCGCGCGCCGGGAATGGAGGTCCAAGTTCGGGGTAGCGACGATTAAACAGCCGCACTTCGCAGCCAACCCTTTTCCTCACGCGCGACACCCCCGTTCTCCGGGCAAACAAACGGTACGCCGCGCACACTCGACCCGACCTCGCTCGACCCCGAGAAAAACCTCCTTCGATCTCTTCGGCGCTTAAGACACGCCGACAGGCAGGGGAAAAGTGAGAGGGAGAGAGAGAGAGAGAGAGAGAGAGAGAGCAAGGGCAGGGGCAGGGGCAGGGGGCTCCCTCGCTCCTCGAGACGGATCATTAAATTCAGATATTACGGCGTTTCGTTCGTGGACGTTGTTGAATTGTGACGGCCACGCGGACCGTGTACCATAAATCGCTCGTGAGAACGTTCGCCGTCGCTCCGCGACTCCGGATCGTCGCCAAGTCGCTCGGCGAGAGGCATTATTTCGCGCTGCGGCCGAGTGTTAACGCGGCGCGGATTGAATCGCAGTGTTGGCGGTGCGAATGCTCCCCGCTCACTTATACGCTGCGAGTGCAATTTGCCGAGAGGAGCGTGCCGGAGCGCCGCCGTGCGCGCACTTCGCGTTTCGTATCGATTTCCTCGGCGATGTATCCGACGAGGAAACGTCCGTCCGTCGAAAGCGCGACGAAGGATCAGCGGAAGCCGCGTGAAGACTCGACCTGACTCGACGTTGCCCGCGAGCGCGCCGGCGAGCCGGGTCGTGCGCTTCCGCGTCGATCCGCCCGGGCATGACGACGAGGAAGAGAAGCCGTCTTAAACTTTCCAGCGGGCTATCCGGCGGAAGCGCCGTGTTTAACGAGGTTAACGCGAGGCGAGGTGTACCGCTACGCGCGCTTCCGCCGCGCCGCGCCGCGCCGCGCCGTCGCGAAAGTCGCGAATACTCGCCGCGAGTTCCACCATTTCGGAGCGCGCGGAGACGACACATTCAGCCGTCCGGCCGGCTTGTTTCCCCCTCGAGCTTTTCCGCGAGCGAGGTCACGAGCCGTGTAATAGCTCGACGAGGAGCAGCGGCAACGGCAGCGGCAGGAAGGGAGTCTCTTTTAGAAATTGCCGGGAGAAATTCGCGGAGAAATTACGAGGAGACTCGCGCCGCGCCGCGGCGAACCTGCGACCTGCGCGCTCTGAATCGTATCGACGGGAGGAATCTCTTGCCTCTCGAATTACGAACGATCGCACGGACGAGGTGCGCTCTCATGGGGAAAGTAGACAAATAGTCGCGGATTAGCGACGGCGACGCGTATCAACTCGCTACGTAATGACGGTAAATAATGGTAAATGGGCCCCGGTGCGCCTTTCGCGCGCCGTAATGACGGTAATGATAGATCGCGCTGTTTTCGAGAATTAATCGCCGCTCGTCGGGGCGACAGTGATATTTCGCGACTACGAGCGCACCGCTCTCTCCCTCTCCCTCCTCTCTTTCTCCATCTGTGTGTGTGTGTGTGTGCGTGTGTATAGCGCAATTTTCTGGATTACGTAATACTTTACCCGCGCGAGAGCCGCGGCACGAGATTCCGTGGAAACGCGTCGGAGCGCGAAGAGAGTTCCTCGCGGCGGCGCGAAGGAGAGACAGCTGAGTCGCGTCAGGACAAAACCAAACCGTCCGGGCCGGGACCTGCGAAAATCGTCCCCGAGAGAGGATTCCTGGATTCCGGTGTTCGCGTATTCCGGAGCTAGCTATTTTGCTCCAGGCCGCCGCTCGGGCTATCCGGAGTGCGGAGTATTTCGAGTGCGCGTCAGAGAGAAGGTTCCGCGGATCTTTGGAATGTCGAGAGCTTTTCGGCCGCACGCCGAGACGCACGGCTGCCGCCGCGATTTGGAAGAATCCGGATTCCCTAAGTGCGGCGAATGTTTGGCCGATTCCAAGCCGCGGCCGCCGAATTATTCCGGGATAACTCGGTTACGCCGTGATTCGACCGATCTCGTACTCGTCGCGATCCCAGCTCGATGCCGGAGTCTGAATGAATAGCCGAAATCGCGCTGCCGACCGTCCCGATCGCAACCCTCGTCGCTCTCCCTCTCTCTCTCTCTCTCTCTCTCTCTCTCTCTCTCTCTCTCTCTCTCTCTCTCTCTCCGAATATTCCATTTCGCGTCTCGCCGAGAGACGCATTACACGCACACCTTGACGCACCGCCGTGACGCAACACGCCGGACGCCCAGCCACCCCCTCGTACGCCCCAAGGCTTTCGTACACGCCTAATCGTACCTGCTTCTCCATCGAACGTCATCCCCCGTCATCAGTGTCTCATCTCGGCGTCGTGCTGCCGTCGCCGCGCGACTCTCGTTATCACCACCGAAAACAGAGTCACAATGCGCGATGTTCACAACGTCAAACGACGCGACCGCCCGCGTGGGCGCCGCGCGACGTCACGCGCCTCTTCTTCTTCTTCTTCTGCTTCTTCTCCTGCTCCTCCTCCCGCACTGCGCGTTATTACCCGTTCGTTTATTCCGTATCACGCTCGCGACAACGCGATGCGCGGTGGAGCGCGATCGGAGGAGCGAATCGCAACGTCCGACCGCGATGGTAGCTCCAGCGAGACTGAACGCCGTCGCTGCCGGCTATCGCGACGAGGGTGGGCGAGTGACAGGGCCGTAGGGACAGGGCGCCTACGCCCCCGCGCTATCACACTCGCGTGCACACACACACACACGTACACATGCACACGTGCGAGACATGAGCGACGCGTCCCGAGGCGATATCGACACCGGGAGGGAAGAAAGTCCTGTCCGCGAGTTACCGGATTTTTACGGAACACGCGAAAGGCGCTTGCTCTGCCCGGGGGTTGGGGGGGGAGAGGGAGAGGGGGGTGATCGCGTGCGTCGAATGGGGTGGAATTCCGCGGAGGCGCGGGCCGCGGAGAAAAACGCTCACGAGCGTTTCGCCGCGTGGTGTAGGGTCGTTTGGAGAATTGAAAATTTCAGGATACAAATGAGTGGAAGAGAGAGAGGGGATAATTGTCGACATGAATCTTTTCTCTCAAGCGCGCACGTAACGCGCGCGCGCGCTTAAGCGAGAGAGAAACGAGAGAATCAAACCGCACGGGAAACACGTAAAGACATTCTTTTCCAATTTTTCATCGTGCGCATATCTCCGTGGCTCGGCAGGCGTTATCGCGACCGAGCGAGTTATCTCGACGGCACAATGCATTCGAAAGATTCACGAGACGCAACATCGCGGGATGAGCGCGCGTCCCGGAAACAATGCGCGAGCGGCGGCAACCGGCCGAGCGAGAGGCGCGCGGCAGCCGCGCCGTTCGGGCGCAGCCCTTTCGTTCCGCGCCCCTCGATTACAACAACAACAACAATGGGGCCAAGGGATCCCGCCCAGACGATTTCACGCGGTCACGTCGCGCGGCGACGACGCGCGTGTGCGTAATCGTTGCGAGCGCCCGAGAAAAAAGGAAAAGAGGAGCGCCATAAAATCGCGCCGCCCTTGTCTCGCGCGGCCGGCCGAAGGGATCATCCGGACTTCCCCTCGGCCGAGCGATGTTGCCCCTCTTCTTCGGAGGGTGGCCGCGGCTTCAGACACTCTCCCCGTCGCACACCCTCGATTAGCATACGGCTGGCGCACAGTGCATCGAAACGGTGAGAAACGGTGGACATCGAGCCAAAAATAAAAGTTCGAATTTCACAACTTCATCTACTGGAATGTGTTGTAAAATAGTTCTGATATATGATCCGAATGCAGAGAATATTAAGTGATGAGTAATATACATAAATACTATAAGCGTCCAAAGTCTCGAGTTTCTGTGATAAGTGAAATGTGTTAAGCATAAGTCGTCCATTTGCCTTCGCTGTATTTTATATAAATAATTATCGATCCTTGTCTATCTTATGGATGCACAATTCTATAGTCCTTCAAGAACATTTTTCCGTCATATCCGTTGCCAGATTTTGTTATATCTTACGCATTTTTCTCTATGAGGAATTAGAACGAAATCGTAACTCAATTCATACTCATGTTTATTGAATAATTAAAAAAATGTCCATATTTGTCCAAGATCTACTAAATAGGATTTAAAAAAATCATTCATATAGCAAAAACCGTATATAGGTTTCAGCTGCAATCTTGTGCGATCTTTTCTCCTATATATCGTGTAGTGGATAGAAATCATCTAACCTATTATGTACAATTGTACATGAATGAAAATTCGGTTCGAAGACAGAATTCGGTTCGGCCAGAAATCATTTGCAATGAAAATTTCAGTAAAATTTCTGTTTATATTCCTATAATATTTTTATAATATTTTTTTTATTAAATTTTAAATATTCCCGTTTGGTTTCGAGTCAGCGTCACATAGATAAGAAACAAGGCAAAAGTTTTTGTCAATCCGTTGCAACGGATTGAAAAAGAATCGCAAAATTTCGAATAGTCCTTTCGTTTAATCCAGTTCTATTCATACACACGTAATCAAAGGATTTGCGAAGAACCTCTACGCTGTATCCGTTGTCCTTGGCTGTTTTCACGAATTTTGTTTTACAAAATCCACTAGCCCTGCAATTTTCACTTGTGTTTTCATGCAGATTGTTCAATCTTAAAATTTCCAAAAATATGTACCAATATTTTATTATTGAATTGAATTTATGCAAGAAGATCTGATATAACTTGCCCAAGGCTAGCTTGTCCCTTACCTTCACGTGATGCTAACTGTTGAAACCGAATAGGAACACTATATATATATATATATATATATATTCGTTACAATACTATTATTATCAAAATGGTATACAAAAATATTATAAATAAAATATTTTATGAAAATTAATTTTATTGAAACCTATTCCTGCACAAAATTCTGTTTCCGAACAGAATTTTAGTCGATGTCCACAGAATTTGAAGTTTCGATCCACTGTGCGGCGGCTCGCGCTGGCGACGCTGGTTCGCGGATTTTTCAGTATTTCGCGCGAAAGGACAAGGTCCAAACACAAAGGACGAATCACGGTGCGATTCGCGCGAGGATCGCGCGATCCTCTGGATAACTGGTGGCGCATCTCTCAATGTTCTTTTCATGGCGCCCTGCCCTCTCGATCTGGTTACGTCGGACTCGCAAATCTCGAGCGAATCCCTCCTTCTCTCTTCTTCCTCTCGCGGCATATTGAGCAATCTTCGAGCGGAATTATTTTCGGCGAGACGGCGCAAATGCTTCCTCAGACTCGACGAATTCATCGCCGAGCTCGCGCGCATAACACTCGGCGACTATCGATCTAATCGTCAGACTCGAATCCCAACGCGAGGGCTGTTTTATGCGTTCGAAATCGCATCGCGTCAGGAATTCCTTCCGCCGAGTGCATTAATTAGGTACATCGTTATGCCGCGGTAATTCGCGTACCGCGCATGCATTATTCCGCACTTGGAAGTGTACAATGTGCGCGCGCGCCGTCGTGGATGCGGTTCGGCGCGCGTTCGGTAGCGCGAAATTTTCCACCGAGAGAGGCCGAACGTGTCTCTACTTCGTCCTTCGTCTTATCGTTTCGATCAGACGCTGAGAAGAAGATCTCTGTTGTCATGACAATTGAACGTTCGCTGTTTGATAATTGTACGGGGAACAAATCAAATTATTACCGCAACAAATAATTTCTCGTAATTTGTAATTTTAACATATACAGGGTGTCCCATTTTGAAAAACGCATCTCGCAGATAATTCTTCGACGAAGCATTTTCAGCAAAAATGTTTCGGTCAAAAGTTGTACGATTTCAAGGGAGACATAAAACAACTATACTATTTTGCTTACAAATGGCACCACTTCCGAGATATTCACTGATCATTGCCTTTCTTAAGTGGAAACCCCAATTTTTTATTACACCGTCTTCTTCTACCGATTAATTTAAACAACTTTTGTCTGAGACACTTTTTTTACTTACCTAATATTTTTTTAGATATTTAAGGAAGACTTGGTAGCTTTTTCAATGTTTAACTCACGATATCTCGCTAACTATTTGTCGGAAGATAAAGCGGTACTAGATTTTTCTGCTCTATTTAATCTCAAGAATATATTGTTATAACAGCGCCCTGACTTTTGTTAACTCACTGATTTTTGAAAATTTCAAATCATCAGATAAATAGCTACAAATCACTTCTACAGACTTTTTCATTGATAAAAATACGTTTACAGGCCTTTGTATGTATACTCTCCTTAACTTCACTCAACTTCATCTAATAATTTATCACTTTTATACAATGCGTCGTGCTAAAAATAAAGATTAATGCAATAATGCTTTGCTCCATTTCTTTCCCCGAATTCCTGCAAAACTCACACGCACAGAATTATTATTTTGTTAACCATTCTCTACGAATATTGGATTGTAATGAAGCCATATTTGAATTATCTGGTAATATATCTGTATATTATATCTAGGAATATATCTGTAAAAATGATTCTGGGCTGTAAAAGTTCGTAGCTACTTAAAAAAATTTATAAATCACTTCAAGAGATGCTTTTTTCTACACATGTACTGAGAAAAGAAGGTTTGGTCGGGTTAACAAAACACCAGCAACAAATAGTTTGCTGCTTTCATCAAATATTTTGTGTATTTTGTTATATATTACACGAGAAGAAGAGTAATACTATAACCGATTTGCTTGTACAATTTTTAATCCTCGCTCATTCTCTGTATTGCCAACAAATCAAAAATTTGCGATTAAAAATTTACGAGTTGGATCAGCATAATAGCAATACCATTGTTCCCACGATAAAATTGTTCGTTAGAGGAACAAATCACAAGTAACAAATCATTTGTCACCACAACGAAGTTACTTGCTGTCCCACATTAACAAGCCATTTGTTGCGGTTATTGCGTTTGAGAGAAACTTCCTTTTTTCTCAGGACGCTGGATTCAATTCCGATCTAATCAATCTGGATTTTTTCTCGTGATTTTGCAAGAAGGACGGTCCCCCTCCCCCCGTCGTTAATGAACGACGATTACCAAGTGAGAATCACTCGGACGATCGTTTTATCCGCCGTCGCGAGCGTCGAAGCGCATGTCGACGTTCGCGATTTCGAGTCGATAGATCGCGCGCCGACAGATCAATCGATCACGACTGACAGCGCGACGCCGCGCGACGGGCAAGTCGCACCAGATACACCAGGCAGGGCTCTGTCCTTCCGGCTCACGGGGGGGGGGGAGGGGACCTGCGGATCCCGTGGAAAATAAAGAGGTAAAGAACGGCAGCTCTGGAGCCGCTTTGGAAATTGCGCGTGATTGATCGCCCATTAAATTTTTATCTAATATAACGAGGAGTGGCGCGAGCCCGATAATGGACTCGGGCTAGTTAGAGAGCGCGCGCATGCGCGTGGCCGGCATTATCGTCGCGGACGTAAAAGCGATTACGCGCGACGGAAATTCGACGTAATACCATCGAGTTCCATTAAAATTCACTTGTACGGAAAAAACGATTAAGCCTTTATACAACAGCACGCGCGCGATACCGGCCCCCCCCCTCCTCCCCCTCCCATCCCCTTTCGCCGGCTTTCACTCTCCTTATCGAAGAGTCCGCCGCTTATCGCCCGGTGCTCGTCACCGGGGATTACTGAAAATCGCGTTTTCTCAGGATC